AGCGTAGGGTGCCTGCATACAATGCCAATGTATGCAGGACTGAACACAGTGTGCTGGGATAAAGACCAACACCAATATGTGCAAGAATGAGCATTATGTGGTAAAGACAAGGGTACACTGTGTGCAGTGCAGTAGTATAGTCTCATGGTGAAGAGTGGGATCATAATGGAGCTAAGTAGTGACATCACATGTCCATGTCCAATAGTAAGACCAGACCTCCTCACTGGACGTAGTTGAAAAGTCATATGGACTGAGGGACAAACAATGTCTTCAGCCTGTCTGTGGAGCAGTTGAGAGGCAGCAGCCTACTGCTAAAGGAACTCCTCTGCCTGGTGATGGTGCTGTGCAGAGAGTGATGAATATGTCCAGGATGGACAGCGGCTTACTGAGGGTCCTCTTCTCAGCTACAAATGTAAGGGAGTCCAGCTCTGTACCCAGCTCAGAGCCAGATTTCCTCATCAGCTCATCCAGTTGCAAGGCGTCTCTCTCTTCTTAATGCTGCCTCTTCAGCACACTACAGCATAGAAAAGGGCTCTGGCGATACGTGATGGTGCTGTGCAGAGAGTGATGAATATGTCCAGGATGGACAGCGGCTTACTGAGGGTCCTCTTCTCAGCTACAAATGTAAGGGAGTCCAGCTCTGTACCCAGCTCAGAGCCAGATTTCCTCATCAGCTCATCCAGTTGCAAGGCGTCTCTCTCTTCTTAATGCTGCCTCTTCAGCACACTACAGCATAGAAAAGGGCTCTGGCGATACCAGACTGGTAGAACATCTGTAGCAGCTTCATACAGATGTTGAAGGACCCCACAGCAGTGCGGTGATTAGCACTATTGCCTCACAGTAAGAAGGTTCCAAGTTCAAGCCCAGGCTGACCCAGGTCCTTTCTGTGCAGAGTTAACATGTTCTCTCTGTGCCGTGGGTTTTCTCCGAGTACTTTGACTTCCTGCCAAAGACATGCAGCTTAGGTTGACTGGTGACTCTAAATTGCTCATAGGACTGAGTGTGGTTATGTGTGGTGTTTTGTTTACATATCAGTCCTTTGAAACACTGGTGACCTGTCCAGGGTGGACCCCGCCTCTCACTCAATGTCAGCTGGGATTGGCTCCACCCCCCCACGACCCTATTCAGGTATAAGCAATAGAGATACTGGTTAGACTTGCACCATGCCAGAAAGTCCTTCACCTGGCTCCTGTACTCATCCTCCTGTCCATCCCTGATACGCCCCATGATTGCAGTGTCATCAGAAAACCTCTGCATGAGGAATGATTCTGAGTTGTACTGGAAGTCTGTGGTGTACAGAGAGAATAGGACAGGGGGCAGCACTATCCCCTGTGGTGCTCCTTTACCGGTGACCACTGTCTCCGAGGTGCAATCCCTCAGCCTGACATACTGAGGTCTATTTGTGAGATAGTCTGTAATCCAGGGCACCAGGAGTGAGTCCACTCCCACCTCTATCAGTTTGTCTCTCAGTAGCAGGGGATGGATGCTGCTGAAGGTGCTGGAAAACTCAAAAAACATGATCCTCACAGCACCATTCCCCCTGTCCAGGTTAAAGAGAGAGTGATGAAGCAGATGGAGGATGGCGTCCTCCACCCCCACCTTCCCCTGGTATAAAAACTTCAGAGGGTTGAGTGCCTGGTGGAGCTGGGGTCGGAGGTGGTGCAGCAGCAGCTGCATGAAGTGTGATGTCTTCATGATGCATGATGTCAGGGCAACCAGCCTGAAGTTGTTCAGTTTCCTGGAGTGTGGCTTCTTGTGGAAAGGAATAAGGCAGAATGATTCCCCAATAAGGGGACCCTCCCCACTTGCAGGTTAAAGACGTGCTGAAAGGGCTCTCCTAGCTCAGCAGCACAGGCCCTGAGTAATCTATAACATGTTCCATGTGGGCCGGCTGCTTTGTTGGGGCAGAGTCTCTTCAGCTTTCCACTAACCTGAGCTGGCATTATGGTGGAGGGGGGTAGGGGGGTGGTAACACTCCCCTCCAAGGCAGTCTGGGGGAAGGCTGGCAAGTGGAAGGAGGTGTGAGGGTGTCAGTAGGACCAGCTACAGGAGCAGTAGCACCAGCTAGGGGGTTGAACCTGTTAAAAGTTGTTTAACTGGTTAGCTCTCCCTACATCCCCCTCCACTGTGCTCTCCCCCCTTTGTACTGCAGTCTGTGATGGTCTTTATGCCAGAACCGGAGTGTGATCTGATTTCCCCAGTGGTGGCAGAGGAGTGACAGTGTATGCATCCTTCACATTAGCATACAGAAGGTCGATAGTCCTATTTCCTCTGGTTGGACAGTCCACATACTGGAAAAATACAGACAGTGTAGATTCCAGTGAGACATGGTTGAAGACTCTTGAGATCAACATAAAGGCATCGGGGTGCTGTGTCTGCAGTCTCGCAATAGTCATGTGGATGCCATCGCACGATGCTTCAGCATTTGCTCATGTGGGAATGTAAGCACAGACAACAGTGGTGGGTGAAAACTCTCTGGGCATGTAGTAATGTCAGAGACTCACAGCTGGTGTTAATAAAGAGTGCATGTCCCCCACCTCAGATTTCCCACTGCACTTCAGGATGTGTTCACATAAGGATGTTGGTCTCAGAGGTGCTCAGCAGCAGCAGCAGCAGCATCATCATCAACAGCAGCACAGCTTCATGTACTTGTTTTGGGGATGTCAAGAAATAAGGGCAATCCCATGATTCATCATTTATAGCTGTTCCTGAATATGACAAGTATGTTTTGACAGTGGTGTGAATGTTCACAGTGCTTGTGTCAAAGCACATAATTGGAGGGTCCAGTGACTGGTGGTGGAAGAGGTATCCTCAATCAACCACATCCACTGAATTTCTAATATGGTTGGAGATCTACAGACATTCCATGCTACATTTCCCCATAATGCAACTCAGTGGTGTCTGACCTGTATCAGAGGTGAAGGGAGCCATAAAAGTCATTTGCTGAGTGTTTTCACAGGCTCCTTGTGCCAAGTAAACAGGATTTCATGTTTGGAGATCCAGCTATCAACCAGTTCTCCTAACCTGGAATAACACACAAAGTAAAGCTAAGTTGGATTGAATGTCAAATTGAAATTGTTCCCTAGTGCTAAGTAAAAGGTTTAGCGATCATCACATTTATTGCATGAGACTTTTGCCTTGATAGGCAGAGCCACTACACTACTACAAACTACTAAACTTGTACAGCCTCATATTAAGGTAGTATAATGTATCACAATACTGTATATGATCTCAGGTTAATCTCAAATATAAATGTAGCCAGTGATAGTGAAAAATAAGTAACATATATTCCTCTGAAATATAGGCGTATAGAGTGAGTAGTTTTGCTTAGTTACCTCTGGCAATAGTTAAGATTTATTTTAACAATAATACATACAAGGTTCTTCCTTCCATCATGATTTTATGTTTCTAAAATAATCCACTTTAAAAAGCAACCATGATTTGAAGGAAATACTCTTTTCAGAGGCTGTTTAATAGTGCACAGACAGTGTTTCAGCCGTGACTGATATGAGCACCCCGTCTTGGTAATAGAGTGTCTCCACTGGACCAGCCATCCATGTCATAAACGGCTGGTCGTTAAACAGTAGATATTCTCTCCCCCACTTGCAGCAGGAACATCAAATTTATTCTGCTGCTTTGATCTCATTTTAGACTGAGTCCTGAAATAGCAGGAAGCTCAGAGTGGTGTCAGCAGAAAAGCAGCCAGCAGAGCGAGCCTGTTCTGGGCAGTACCTCTGCTTAACAGCAACATCAACACTAAACTTGTGAACAGCTGATCACCTAGCCGGCATCAGAACCAACATCCGCTGGTGCTTTTCCAGATTGAATTGTTCCCTGCACTGGCCCAAGAGACTCACTAGCTTTATGGGGAGGAAATGAAAAGAACCAGGCTTGGACATGTTTGAAGAAGAGAACTTTATTTACAACACACAAGGCACTGGCTGAGAGCCAGCAGCAAAGCTCTCAGTCTAAAAACGGCATTTTAAAGGGGGGCTATTTGAGTTTGCTTTCTTCTTTCGCTCTGCCTGTCTGCCACAGGGAAACCAAGTGAACTTCAGCTAAGCCCATCAAAGAAACCTTCACTGGAGTTAATCTCCTTATCTGCTGACTGGCTATGACCAAGATGACTTTTTACCAAGTTGATTATTATTTCAGAGCGGCGAAGCCCTCCTCTGATGACTCTTAATAACATGCACAATTCTGCAAAACCTATAGAAGGATTCGTTATTGTCCTGCAGCAAAGGTTAACTTGGGTTTATTACAGGGTGTTCTCATTACTGTGGAGATTAACAGGGGGAATCAAAGCACCTCATTAACTTGCCCAGTATGCACCATAAGCTCACCTCCACCTGTCGTCCTTATCTCTCCATCGCCAACTCCTCTAATTTCTGGCCATAGTGAACAACACAAGATGAAGCACCAGTCTGTTCTGCTTCCTCATGTTTACCCCCCTGCCGACCAAACCATTTTCTAAATGTTATGCATTGTCCCTGCTGTGCTTGAATCTTGCTGACCCTCTCTTCCATCCTACTAATCACCTCTCCACATGGCCTACCTGCATCTCAGCACCACCTCATTTTTCTTCCTCTCTCTTACTGTCTGCCTCTCAGCTTTCTCTCTGGGTGTCTCATTAAAGGCGCTCTATCTAATGAGATTACGCCGTGGGGATTAATGGTGTGGCTAATTGATAGACACACAGCCGGAGGAGGATTAAATCCCTTTAAGTCCCCAGAGGCTTTTTTGGCGCTTCAGCTGACTAATTGAAATCACAGGAACGGACACAAATATACTTCCTGACCCCACACACTGCTCTAACACTCCTTTGTCTGAGATGCAATAAATAAACCAATAGCGGGTGTTTTATTAGAAAATGAAACCATATCCAAACAACAGCGTCAAAGATTAACTGTGTAATTCCAAAAGGAGACTCCATGGCCTGTTTTAACATGAAGAAATACATTATTCCACTGTAGGAACATATTTAAATACAAACCATTTCATGAACAAATAAAGGTGGAAACTTTAAAGCCACAATATATAAATTTCTTTATGAGATTGTAGTGTATTTCAGATTATTCTGATGCCATATTTGTTTGTAGAAAAATGAGACAATCCTGGTGAAAAATGGTCCAATCTCTGTGTTGCCTTCAGCCCATTTATCATCTGATCAATCCATGTGTGTGGGTGTCCAAATCCAACATACAGAGGTTTTAAGTCTAATGGAGACAAAGCTGCAATAAATAATGATTTTAAAAAGAGGCCCATTGTAATTTAAAGCTTTGAGTGACATTATATTTGACATAACCACCGCTGAACCAACCAGGCCACGTCACACAGTTCAGTCTACACCTGAAGATGATGCATACTGAAAAAGATGGCACATTTTAAAACATGTCTTGTTTATTTTTTAAAGCACACATCTAGTATCTACTGTAAGTGAATGAATAAAATAATTCCAGTACACTAAAAAATAGAACAACTACCAGCAGGCATGGCTAATGAACCTTCCAGTGTTTTGAGGACAAGGCCCACAAGAGGAATACGTCTGTCAGAGGCAATGCTGGGTAAATCCCAATTCCCTTATTTGATTGTTCCTCGCTCGACCAGATGTAGTTCCGGTTTACCAAAGCTCTTATTCTTGCTCTGAGGAGTGAGGAGGCTGCTGGAGAAGCCGTGAGTGAAGATACATGAACACATCCTTCATGGAATTCTTTTGTGGACCAATGTGCCCTTATTGGAAATCAGTTGGTGATCGGATGCTTCAGCTGAAGGATCAGAGGAGAGGACTTCACGTGTCTTTGAAACATGTTTCCCCGATTCCTCTCTCCAAGCATCTTTTCCTTCCATCTTATGTGAGAGGAACTAAGACACAAAGAAAAGATTCAAGCGAGGGAAACATGGATGCAATTAAGGGAATTGGGATTTATCCACAGAGTGAGAGGGGAAGGCAGTGGTGACACATAAAAAATGAGTATAACAAGCATTTTTAGAAATGAAAAAAGAGCAAAACTGAAATAAGACATGTATAAGCTGGCATCTTAAAAGTGTAATAATGCTTCAATAGAAGACAGAAACAAAAATATCCACATATTAAAAATGAAAGGGCCAAAAATCCCCTGTGCCCAATGAAGAGCAAGAGAAAGAGAGCAGCAAATTTTATGTCATCAATACTTCAAAAATAGGTATCTTACAGTATTTTTATTTTCTCAGTGTCTTTATACAGCATATATTCATATAGTTTCTGCTGACTATTTTCACATTCTCACCACATAGTAACAAGTGCTTTGAGTAAAACATTTGGAAAAAAAAAACATGCAACTTTTTATAGTTTTGTGGGCCTATAAAAAACGGGAATGTTCAAGGCGACCAAAAAAATCCTTCTCAATGCCTTTGCTCCAAGTCATTTCAAGATCCACTGTCTTACACCGCCTGACTAATCAGATCATGCCTACACAAGCTTTACACTGTGGAGAAAGCAACACAACAACCATACAGGGCAGGCAAGCATCTCAACATAAAGGCTCCTAAACTCATGAGTCCAGAGAGGAAAGGCAGGCATTCTCCACTAAATTAGAAACCCCCCACATGTATAAAAACAGTCTCACAGAATGTCAGCATGTTGCTGAAGTTGTGTCGACAGGTGACACTTGTGAAAATGAAACTGAACAGGTCCTTGGAGAAGAAGGGTTGTCTTCACCCAAAGCAACTCATAGGCTTCTTTAGGCCGTAACTCACTGGGTTGTGATATCCGATAGCGTGCCCTGGTTGTGTCCTTGCCTCCTGGGACTGGCTGCTGGGGTTGTTCATCTGCACCGCTGTGAAGGGAAGATGAGAGTGACAGGCAGGGCTGGTGTGAAGAGTGTGTGGGGGGTAGGGGACGAGAGAACGAGCCTCCACTGTACTGCACAATTGGCAACCGATCCTGAGATAGCAGGAGTCTGATAGAAAAACACACCACAAAAGGCACTTTAAAAATGACAGTGCTTCTGTTCTAAGGAAATTCAAGTTGACAGAGTGAAAGAGAGAGCATCTTCCCAAAAAACATTCTCTTCAGTGTGAGACTAAAGCAAGAGATGGTTTTTGTTTTAACAATCAGTCAAAGCACAAATCCACTACTTGTGTCTCTCACAACCGCCTTGATTCATCCCCAGAGAGCTCCGGGTCCAGCACGGTGAGAGAACCAAAAAAAAAACAAAAAACACACTACAAACTCGCCACTAAAAATTATAAAGCCAGAATACAGTTGCGTTGCAGCGGAATTCAAGTTTGCGGGCCCGTTGAGGGCTGTGAGTGAACGAACACAGCCCATGCAAGGGTCTGCTCCTCACATGTCTACCATGGAGCCAGTGTCATGTTCTTGGCCCCTGCCTGTGGTATTCAAGAGCATTCATCCAAACGACCTCGCCTCTCCTGAACCCCGTCACAAACCCGCACACCCCACCCCCCCAGCCCCGCTCTCAGTCATCGTCCCCTCCTCCGTAGAGGTCGGCCAGCTTCTTGAAGCGAGGGCCCCAGTCATTGAGGTAGTCATAGTCCTGGTCGTCTGAACTGGTGGAGTTGAGCGAGCTGACGGAGCCAGCCGTTGAACCGCTGCCTTCATAGTCAAACACCAGCAGGGAGTCGTAAGGAGGAGCTGTGGGGTCGTTGTCTGCTGCCCTCAGACCCTGAAGACATAACCACAACAAAATGAAATATATTCCACTCCGAGTTAGAGTACTTCCTGTTGCGTGTGGCTCTTCTTCTAGTTTAGGAACATCCAACAGGCTCTTGTAGAAAGACTTATGTAAACAACACAACAGCAAAGCATTTCCCCTCCATTCTCCTACAGTACTTACATCATTAATGAAGTCTCCTATGTCTCCAGGGTGGGGCAGACTGGGTCTGACGGGGTATTGTGACTCCGCGATCACAGGCCTCTCATCCACCCTGCGCACCCCAGCTGGCTTACTGATGATATGGTCCAGAGACTCAGGCTGCTGCAGCTGGCTTAGGTCATAGTCCTGGATGAAGGCCATGGAGGGGAAGATAAGGACCATCACCATCTGATTAACTGTTTTGAACCTGTTGCTATAACTGCAAAAGACAAGACCCCCCTGTGTTGCTATGTCTGGTTATGACAGTGCTCAGATTCTACACTGGAATCTATTCTCTGGTCAGGTTTCATTGTTCAGATCCACAGACTTTGATGTGTGCTCATGTTAACTCTGTGAGCGCTCATGACTGTGAAATCTGTGCCACAGGACTTTCTAAAGAAGTGCTGAAGCTCTTTTGTAAACCTGCACTGCTGCAGACTTCGGCTATGCCCCAAATCCATATGGCACATTAAATCTATTCAGTATGTATTACATGCTAATTGTCATAGTGTACTGTTTCACTGTTTCGGCAGTTAGTACACAAAAATACAACAAACAGTGCTTAACCACTAACAGGAAATACATCTGTGCTTCATCAGATGTCCATCTGACTGCAACTTTGGAATGCCACTGCAAGTGAAATGTCTTTCTTAAGATTGGCTACTTATTTTTACTTTTCAATATACTCCTCCGGCTCTATCAACTCCCTGACTTACATTTTTTCCCCTAGCTGTGACTAGCTCTACAGTTTCTCTTCTAAAGCCATGACATCATTTTCTGTACTTTTCCAAACTGTTTAAAGGCACAGTCACCTGAGTGCATGTAAACATCTGACCTGCTGGAACTGTGATATAGTGAATTATAAGTGAAATAATCTGTAAACAACTGAGGATTTGTTAGCATGACATCTCTGGAGTGGTGAAAATAAACAGTTTTAATGACTTCAACCTCAGTGTATGTAAGCTTCAACTGTATATGTTGTAGATGTATAAAGCAGGTTGTTGACTTATGATAAATAAATGTCCCCTAATTAATTCCCACACAGGCGCTTACTGCTATATACACCTCAGCCATCTGATACTAGCATGTGTTAATGCACTAGATGTTTGGTTTGTAAAGATGTTGGGGAAAGTATCATAATGGCATTATTAATAATACATCAGTGAATTAATCACAGATGTTGGAGCTTGCCATCTCTGAACATTTTCATTTATTTAAAAGATATACAGGAATATGTGGAGTGCAGTAGCACTTATAAAAGACACTTGTTTGTAAGTGCTTGTTGTAGGGCAGAGAGCAAACTGAACCTGAAAGACGTTTTCTGAAGTCTCACTCTCTTTTTAGAAAAATATGTTCTTCTGTCGACAGACTCAACCTGCAGCCCAGCTGAGCTAAACTCACCTCGTCTCATCCACAGTTAGTTTTGAAATGATGGTTCATGGACTAACTTTCTGTGCTGTCTTGCTTTTATTGACTTTATAATTTTAAAAATTCAAAGGAACTAGATATTCACCTTTGATAAAAGAAGAGACCCTCATTGGCTTATTTATTACCTGCTTTATTGGAGCCATTTTCAGGTGCAACTCTTATGGTTTGCTTTAATTTGGACAATTAATTGACGACTATGTTGATACTTATTCAGTTATTAGTCCTTTTCAAAAAAAGGAATGCCCTTCACTCACTGGTTCCACCTTCTCAAATGTGAGGATGTCCTGTTTTTTTCTTTGTAATATGTGACATACTTAATATTTTAGCTTTTGAACTGATGGTCAAATTTAAAAAAGCTATTTGATTGCATCATTTTGATCTGGCAGAAATTATAATTATAGTATTATGTTTTCTGACCTTCATTGACAAAACTTTTCACTGATTATTCAAGAAAATGAATTACTAATTAAAATAATACATTTAGCAATAAGTCATAAGCCACAGTGATCAGTTTTATTAAATGCTTTGCTTTTTAATTTTGTATTTCCTCGGGTTCCTGAGCTATGCTGATGTCCTCTCAGAAAATGTTTTAGTTTGACTTTTTGTTGCTTCTCACTTTGGGGTGACCCCTAAGGGAATAAATAAAGTTATCTAATCTTTAATAACAACACATTCTTGACCATCTGTAAAAGGCAGCAAATATTTTATCATCTTTAAAGGAATAGTTCTGGATTTTTCAAGTTGGTGTTAAAACAATGCTGTTTTTATGTCTGTGTAGATGAGAACAGGCCTTAGTTGTTGTCACTTCTCCTTCTCTCCACACGGACCTCGAATGTTTCCACCCGGAACGTCACTACGCTGCAAAACAACAAGGGACAGTGTACGCAACTCTCGTTCTGTAAAAACATGAGCTCCAGAGTTTGTCTGAGGCTCAAATGCAGCTTCAACTGTCCCACTAAGTGAATTCCATTTGGTATATTTCAAAGTTACACCCTGTTTAAAACAAATTTCCCTCTTATTTCCCTGGACAGTACCTTGCTGGCTACAGAGGAGGGATACAATTTAGCAGTCGCATATAAGTTTTAGCCAATGTTTTCTACTAGAGTTGAGCTCAGAAATCACATAGAAATGAGTCTGTACCTTGACAGCTGGAGTATTTTGTGATTTTGGGACACCAGTAAAACCTGCTCCTGTGTTTGGGCTATATTTGTGCATGTGTGGCATCTGAGAGTCTTTCCTGTGTTTCTCCTGTTTATTCCCGCCTCATCTGTGCTGCAAATGAAGGAGAACATGGTTCTTGTCTGCACTGAGAGAAACAAACAATGGGCCAAAGCGTTCCACAGATTTCACCTGAGAGATCCTGAAATAATCAAAATGGGCATAATGACGCCGTTTGCAAAGTTGAGAGTTATATGCAAATCCCATTTCCACAGTGGGAGAAGTGCTGTGAGAGAAACTCTGCACGGCTGTGCCATCACCAGTCGAGCTAACAATGGCTGACAAGGAGTTAAATGCAAATAAATACATAACATGTTATTTATCAGTCAACCAAAGCACAGATACCTGTGTGAAAGACTATGTTCCTAAAAAGGCCACAGCAGTTCATCTACAGTGTAGCAGTGACACTGACTCAGCTTTATAGAAACAACGTTAGTGTATGCTATTATATCTCACAATGATATTTCATAATGATAACCAAGTGACTGCGATATTACAATATCTCACAGGGATACATCAATATTGTTTTAACACCAACTTGAAAAATCCCAAACTATTAAAAAACAACAACAAAAAACATTCTCAATGATACCACTGCTGGTTAACAGCCTTTTATGGCTTCAGTTTATTGTGAAGACAATATCTTTACTGTCTACCAACGGTACCTGGTCCTCCTCTCCTCCTCCCTCTTCATCGTACTTGAGGATGTTGTCTCTGACATCGTCCTCAGGGTCAATCAGCAGGGGTTTCGCCTGCCGCTCCTTTTCTCTGCGCTTCATCCACACCACAAACAGCAGAACCATGCCTGTGTGAAAAACCGCAGCAAAAACATCAATGTCAGGCACAAGACTGGTTTATAAGCACTTGCCAAAGACAAAAGGTTTTAGTATAACATTTTGCTTACTAAACTAAATGTTGACATTTCCACAATGTATGATAGATAAATACTAATGTAATTATTCAATAGTGTGTAGTATTGACTGTTCCACTTTCCTCTACTCACTGAGCAGTATGATGATGCAGATGAGTATAGCGATGATGGCCCCTGTGCCGAGGCCGGCAGCTGCTACAGCCCCTGTGGCGCTGCAGTCCCCGTTATCATCACAGGGACACACTTTGACTCTGATCACAGAGCGGTTGGACAGAGGAGGGTTCCCTGAGTCGGACACGATGACGGGGATTTCGTACACACCCGCCTCCAGGTAAGGAATCCTTAACCTGAGCTGAGCATAGTCACCTGGAATGTGGGAGTGAGACAGTGTCAATGATGAAGAGAGACAGGAGAAAAGGCAGGACACATTAAGAGATGGAGGAGATGTGAGTCATGAAGAAGGAGGGGGAGAAGAAGAAGGGGAAATCTGATCAGACAGTGTACAGGCAGAGAAATGACATTTTGTTTACCGCAGGATATCATGTCCTAATATGCAGAGGTATGAGCAAATGACATACCATATAAAAGCTGCAACCAAACAAACTGTCAGCAATCATTCTGACATGTATGTATGTAAGGAAGCATTAAAGATATATTTTAAAACAACTGAATGTAGAACCTTCAACATCTATCACTCAGTCAAGCTAAGACAAGAGCCACAGTTGAAAAAGAATCCAGGTATATGATCAGATTTGTCCTCAAGACAACTGCTGTGATACATCCATCTGGGTGGATTAGGTGACAGATCGGTTGCTCGGGGGACACAGAGATGAATGGATCTCATTTGTCACGAACGATAGATCGTACGTCAACACTGGATGGCACCCACGTCTCTCACTGTGAGCTTTGTGAGACATTTTGTTAAACTTGGACATCTCTCACAGCTTACAGCAATCCCCTGCTCCCCGATTGATGTCACCAGTTATTCTGTAGAGGGGTTTTGCATCCCATCTGTTAACTTTATGGTTTAGTGCAGCTGGAGATGCACAATGGTCATAAATCATTCCTCCATACCACCTCAATGTTACATCACATGGACATATTTTCTAACCATGCTGAAGAAAATGTAGAGCATTTCATTACCGCTCAGTCTGGAAATTGTCCAGTTACGACGAACGCTGGCAGGAAAAGAAGGCAGCTCAAAGACAAAGGGCCCTACGTTGGGGTCGGCATCAGCATCCGAGGCTGTGATGTTGATCCTGGAGTTGGGGCGTGCGTGCTCGCACACTTGAGCCTCCTGGGGTATCAACACTGGCGCGTTGTCATTGACATCAATCAGGTAGATCTGGAGGGTTCCTGTCCCGCTGGCTTGAGGCGAGCCTGACAGGAGGAGTGAGGAAAGAGAGGAGGCAGAGGCAAAGGGATCAAAGGAAGAGATGGTGAGATAATAACGTTAGCGTTCCAGAAGGGAGTGAAAACAGTGAGGGAGATGTATAAAGACAAAATGACTGGAGATGCGGCAAGAAGCGGAGCTGAGAGACAGTATAATGAGAAAGCTACAGAAGATGGCAACACAATCCTTCCATTTCAATTACATTCTTCCAGCCGATTCATGTGTGGAGCTGAGGAAATGAGGTGCACAAGCAGACAAACAATTGGATAAGAAAAAGGTTATGTTTTCTGAGTGGCTGAAAGTGGAGAGACAATACTGTATACGCTTGTAGTAGTGCGCCCAAACAAAACAGTCAGAACAAATGAGAGAACACATAAATATTTTAGTCCTTGTGTTCAGAACAGGCTGCTTCCTGAAGAGGCTGAGGCAAGACTCGTACTGGAGGGGACAACACTCGCACAAAGATTACTGTTATCTGCACTCTGCAAGGCCTGCTGGGAAAATGACTCAAACACTAACCCTTCACCACATCCAGCAGTACAAGCTCATCATAACCCATTCAGGGTTTCTTGCGATCAGACCAGAACTGAGCTGAACAAGGTTGGGAGACACAGTGTGTATTATTAAAAGCAGAAGCTCTAATGTGCTTTGATTACTCCACCCAAAGAAACTGAACTGCACTTCAGCAGACCGAGACATTTCTGTTTCTTTTGATACTATAACAACATGGCACTGGGAAGAAACACCTCACTGATTTTTAAGGGTGCTGATTGCTTTGAAAAACACTAAATGAACCTGCAGTTGTTTTGCTCGTCTGTCTCGGGTTGGAGGAACATGAAAGCAGTGAAAACATTTGTAATGAGGTTAAACTCTAGTGTGAGGTGAAATATTTAACTCCTGGACTGAAAATGATCATAAAATGTCTAGTTTGAGCACATGTGAGACTGTTTTCTCAGCAGTTTAAAGTTTTAAGCGGGGTTCAGTTCGACCCCTGATATTACATATTTCCATGCACCAGTCAGGCTTTAGCAAAATTTAAATCAAATTGAACAGTTATGGCATTGTTTATTTATGCTGCCAGACCACTATTTGTCAGTAATATTTAATGTCAAAGAAAAACATTTAAGATGCCATGTCTTCAGGGGCTGTAAGACATTAAGCACTGGAGGAAACATAAACAAATGTGCTGAGTTAAAATGATGAGAAGGCTCCAGGGGGATTTCAAAGAAACAGCATATATAGTTTTAATTAACTGGATTTTTTTTTTAATATAATTATGGGAAAATTTGAATTCACTCAAATAAAAATCAATAGATTTGAATCAGAAATAATTTCAACCACCAGAGGTAAAAAGTAAATTTACTCAAGTACTGTGCATAAATTAAGGTTCCTGTAGTATAATTTAGTATTGTGATACTCCTACTGTATTACATTGTAAAGGGAAATACTTTTTACTTATTATTTTGTCTGCCCCATAGCTACTAGTTACTTTGAAGATGCAGATTTTACACACAAACTGTATCTACCTCTAATACAACAACAATAATACATGTGTCAGGTTCAAGTACCCTATACAGTAATAAATCAAGAATTTGCTTCACCTCAGTCAGTTAAAGAAGGGTTGGGTCATACGGTTAAAAATCACTATCATAATATTTATATGAGCATTTTCCTGTAAGGATATATGCAAAATAGCATATGAGGTAATCAAACTACTGTCCAGTGAAGTTAACTGTGTTCCACTTACATTCACCAAAACTCTAACACATATAACCTATCACTACAGATAAAGAAAGCATGACTGCAATGATATATTGTGGCCTTGATATTTAGCTGACAACCCCCTGTACACAGACTGTCAGCAAGATGAGCTAAATTACTGTAGCAGTGCAAATAGACAGCTTACCCGAGTAGCTCATCAGTGTTGTATTTCAACTTTTTCCCTCTATCAGACAGCACCTGGTGCATCAACTACAGTATGTAAAGGTCTGCTGCCCCAGGCCCCAAGGCCCATCGACCGCCTTGTCAGTTATGATTGGCTGGGTGTTTTGTTGCTTTGTACGCTTCGCTTGAGTAGAATAAGTAAAGAGAATTTCAATCAAAGTGGAATATATCCCCATGTTGACACTGGGCTCCAGAATCAATAGGCAGTCAACACTTTGAGCTTAAGTTGGTATGCTTCAGGGCAAGCAATCCCTTATTTCTCACTGGAGTAAAAACACCAGGGTCCCTCCTACTTACACACAGAACAAGCCCCACCATTTGAAGTGCTGTAGTTCTTTATCTGTGTATACACTGTTGCAGCAACTGAGGCTGATCCTCATGACTTTTGCTGATGGATATTATTCTTAGTTCTTTTCCTACCAGAGACAGGGCAATGAAGGTTGGTACATATTTATACACAGGCATACTGTGTACTGTATACAGTACAATATATGAACAGACTGTCCCACTCATTCACAGGTTACCCACACTATACGGAATCTGGTATCAAGAATAGCAGCAAGGAATTCCCTGTCAAAAACCTACAACTGTTTGCTCTGTTTCTGTGCTGGTCCAGAAACATTAAGTAACATTCTTTCCTCAGTCATAATGAGTTTAGTAAAACCGACTTACCTCATCTGTTAGAGCTATATAAATGTGTGAAATGCAGACTGAGACAAGATACACAAATAGCCAACATTATGTTTGACATGGCGAGTTGTTTTAGATAATCAGTGGATGAGTAGTGAGAAATACTCCAGAGACATGTTACTGGATTTTACTGTGGCCCATTTTGACAACTGCTACATTTATGCCCTGTCTGTGCTACAGTAATTAATGATGATGAAAAATGATAACAAGCAGCTTTTCCAGTCAGATTATGCTTGCTGTGCTGTTACCGATATTAAAATATACTTGATGCAATTTTTTCAGAATGATGAAAAAACTAACATGCTAGTGGCTACAGTATGTGCTGGTTGTGCATTAACACGCAGCTAATTGCTAACATCAGCATGCTAAAATTGTCACAATGACAAAGCTAATGTGCTGATGTTTAGCAGGGGTCATCCTGTTTATAGTGTTTTATCATGGTCATATTTGATAATTAACTGTAGTCATCCTGTTTATAGTGTTTTATCATGGTAATATTTGATAATTAACTGTAGCTGATGGGAATGTCATTAGTTTTGTATTTTGTCATAAACTTAAGCATTTGATGAAGCACCTAATAATTAATCTTAAGCTTGACCAAATTTCATGGCAACCCATTCAATACTTGTTGAGATGTTTCAGTCTGGACCAAAGTGGTAGACTGGTTGACAGTGCCATCCCTACAACTAACATGGCAGAGTGACTAAAATGTGCACCTACTGTCCTGTATGTGCCCTACTGTTTATCGCATCATCACGACACAGAGTCATCCTGACTTACCAGACTTACCATTGTCGAATGCCAGGAATGTGGCCTCATACACATTGTCTTTGACATACATCGACTCTCGGTCCAGCAGGGCCATAGTGGTGATTTGCCCATTGGTCTTGTTGATCTTCAGCCAGTTAGCTGGGTCTGAAAGCTTGGAGTACCTGTACACACACACACATCCAAAAAGAAGCAAAGCCTGAACTAACTACTGATAGTTCATTAAATACAAAGTAAAGCAAATATACACAAACATATTCCACAAATTAACTTTTGCAGCCACCTCTTACTTAAGTTCCAGCAGCACTGAATCTTTAATTTGTTGATTCACAGTACCCGTTACTAGCTCGAGAGTTCATTACCATAATTAGCAATACCAGCCAAGCACCTTTAAAAATTTACAGTGACTTGGAGAATGGAACATATGTTCACCGGGCTTATCACAGCAGCAGCTCATTAACTTGAAGACTGATTAAAACCTGAACACATATGCAGAACAGCCTGCTCTTAACAACATCACCACTCTTTGTACCCACACAGTCTCCACAGCAACTCGCATCACTGTCAGGTCAATGCACCGAGTGGAAAGTGACGACTGCGATTACTGTCTATAAATCTCTTTAACAACTGTGATGAGGCATAACAGTTGACTAGAGGAGGTGCTTCTCTCTCAGCTCTAATGACAAATGGTTGATCATGGACAAGCAAAAAAAAATGTCAGCAGTAGGTGGCTGGTCATCATGTCAGTGATGACAGGATGTGTGTGTGAGACACACAGGCAGAAACAGCGAGAAAGTGACAGAGATCAAAGGTGTGTTTCTGAATGTAAGCATGGTCAGATGTACGAAAATGTGATGAGTGGGAAAGGAGGATAAATTAAAGCAGTGCGTTGGAGGCTAACACCAGTTAGTCAGGGCCTCACAGGCATGGAAAAACTAATTCTACCTCCAGCTACGGACACACACTTTTGGATTGATACACACTTAGCAGACAGACATAGAGACAGACAGAGAGATGTGCTGGTATAGACAGAAACATCTATCAAATTTTTATTTTTTTTTCTTGAAAAAATGAAACTAAATAAAAAATGTAATTTCTAGTGAAAGATTTCTTGCCATGCGGTGTTAGTGTTAGTCAGGATGTGATGTTGCCCTGCAGGTTAGGTTCTGCTGTTTGCGTGGTATTTCTGACACTCTCATCTCATTACTGTGCCAACACGATGTCATCTCGTGCTGCTTTCATTTGAAGCTATCAGAACAAAGTTTTTTATTTATTTATTTATTTTTTTTTACTGTAGTTGTGAGGACTGATATAACCCTTAATCCTAATGTTCAGTCTGGGGTCCTAGTGACCTCAGACTCTTTTTAAGAGCTACAAACACACCCTATATCACTGTTTTGTCAGTTTTTCATGACTTTTCCTGAGAAATGCTTATTAACATGATTCTGAACTGACAAGTCCTCCATGAAAAATTAAATTTGTTTGGGTAAAATCCAAGCTAAACCTTTGTGTGTGAATGAATATATAGGTGCTCATGCAAAGCCTACTGTATATGACACAAAACATTATGTGTTTAATGAAGCAGTGTATTAAAAATGTCTCAGCAATGGAGAAGTAAAACAACTGTTAATAAATCCAAAGGCTAATTACCACTGACTCTTATCTTCAACTCACTGCTAATTCTAACCTTAAAGGGCACTTCACTGATTTTACATATGAGGTTCAGTTCACCCACCCATCACTAGCATTAAAACACAGTGTGGCATTTCAAGGAAGTAACAGTTAATAATAATTGTTTATAATTGTTTAAAAAACAGGTTTACCTTAAACCCTTTTTTTGTTGTAGATGTAAATAAAGCTGTAAAAAAAGCTTAACTGCAATAAATCTGCAGTGCCAAATCACCATAAAAGTA